AATCAAATGAATTTGATGCTTGTATGGTACCACTATTGCTTGTATGTTTAAAATGATCTAGTGGTAGCATATGACATGTTTGTGGGCTTGTAAACCTAGTGTTTGATCTATAAAATAAGCTATAAGTGTTTAACTCAACATGGTACAAGATAACCCTTATTTAGAGGTGTGAAGAAGCTTGTCCTTGGATCAAACCGAGTTAAATAACTTTTGCAACTAATCTAGATTGAACCATTTTGGGAAAATGATCCTCACTTCACATGGTTTTACCCCAACTTATCTATAATTTGAGCTCACCTTTTGTGCTAATTGTTGACAAAGGGGTAGAAAAATTCACAAAGATAGTAAGATAGAAATTCACAAAGATAGTAAGATAGGGGAGCAAACAAATGAAATGACATTGTAAGGGGATCAATCAAAATTACACATAAGTAGGGGGAGTAAGCTCATAAACTTGTATGTTGCATTTGAATGTGCATTTCATATATTTGCTTGCATGGCACAAGTTTTAAAATCTCAATATCCATGCTTGTGTGGTGTATGCTAGTTATATGCTTAAATGATGAAATGAAAAACTAGCATGCATAGGTAATCTAGTGACTTTATTTTCAAGTGGTATCAAACTAAAGTAACTAGACTTATGTTCATCATATGGAAACTAGACCCTTGCTTGTAATATTGATCTCATGAGGTATTCTAGTTTTTGTGAATGTATAGTTACAAATGGTGCTAAGGATGGTATATTGGTGCACTCCGATTGGTATCATGCTTCAAAGGTCCATCTTTTATACCTTAGCATCATGTGGTAGAAATTGTCTCCTATATTTCCTATCTAAGCATATGTGCAAGCTACAATCCAAATTCTTAGCACATATGTAGGGAGAGCAATTGCTACCATATGGGATTCATGAAACTTGTCCATATTCTTTTACACATGGTAAATATGCTTGGGCAAGCAACATGGATTCATCTAAAATTCTATTCATATCTTTGTGAAAGGGTTGTCATCAATTACCAAAAAGGGGGAGATTGAAAGCTCTAATTTGGTTTTGGTTAATTGATGAAACCCTAAGTGCTAACCTAGTTTATCAAAGTGATTATGAGATAGGTAGCACTACTCCAAGTGATGAAGCAATGGCGAAGATCATGATGACCGTGATGGCATGGTGATGATCAAATGCTTAAACTTGGAAAAGAAGAAAGAGAAAAACAAAAGGCTCAAGGCAAAGGTATAAATTGTAGGAGCTATTTTGTTTTAGTGATCGAGACACTTAGCGAGTGTGATCACATTTAGGATTGATAGCCGTACTATTAAGAGGGGTGAAACTCGTATCGAAATGCGGTTATCAAAGTGCCACTAGATGCTCTAACTTATTGCATATGCATTTAGGATCTAGTGGAATGCTAACACCCTTGAAAATATTTGAGAAAATATGCTAACACATGTGCACATGGTGATACACTTGATGGTTGGCACATTTGAAAAAGGGTGAAGAAATTAGAGGTAAAATGGAGTTGGTCGCAATGATGCTGGCGTCGGTCTACTGACCGGACGCTGGGTCACTCAGCGACCGGACGCTGAAAGGCTACGTCCGGTCGAGCTGTCAGACAGAACAGTGGTTAGGATTAAGCACCGGACGTTGGGCTATGTCCGATCAAGCAAGACCGGACACGTCCGGTCGGCAAAAATAGGATTTGGACCCTTACTGGAAACGACCGGACGCTGAGGGTCCAGTGTCCGGTCAGCTCTGTCGGAGCGTCCGGTCAACATTTCGACCTTTGAGATCAAACGTTCACAGTTGAACACAGGTGACACATGGCCGCCATCGGGCGACCGGACGCTGAGGACCAGCGTCCGGTCAGTTCGGCCGGAGCGTCCGGTCAGCCCGATCAGTGCCTAGTGAAGGGGTACAACGGCTCTATTTCGTGGGGGCTTCTATTTAAGCCCCATGGCCAGCTCAACCTCATTCTCTTGCACATTTTCATGGACATAGCATACTTGTGAGCTTAGCCAAAGTCCTCCCACTCATCTCCATCATTGATCCATCATCATTGTGAGATTGGGAGAGAATCCAAGTGCATTGCTTGAGTGATTGCATCTAGAGACACTTGGTATTCGTGTTGCGCTGCAGGTTTTGCTTGTTTCTCTTGGTGGTTGCCACCACCTAGACGCCTTGGAGCAGCGGTGGAGGATTGGCACGAGTTGGTGATTGTTCGTGGCCATCTCCGGTGATTGTGAGGGGAGTTGTACCTTTCTCGGTAGAGTGCCAAAAGGTAACTCTAATATATTGCTCGTGTCATTGAGTTACCTCACTTGTGGGTAGGTTCTTGCGGTGTCAAATCGTGTGGACGAGGTTTGTGAAACACCTCTTAGCCGCCAAACCACCAAGTGTTGGTCGACACAACGGGGACTAGCGTGTTGGCAAGCACGTGAATCTCGGGAGAAAAATCGATTGTCTCTTGTCATTTGTATTCTCCCGGTGATTGGTCATATCTTCATCTTGTGATTGGTTCACTCTCCGACGTGGCGGTATAATCGTATCATTTACTCATTTATATTTCCGCAAACTAGATATAGCAAGCTCTTTAGTGTAATTAGAATTGAGAGCTTGCCTTGTGTTTTAATTTTATCTAGTGGAGCTCTTTAGTGTAGCATTTGCGAGAGCTCTTAGTGAGTAGTGATCAAGTAGATTGTGTGTCCATTAATCATTGCTACTAGAATTGTTGAATAGGTGGCTTGCAACCCTTGTAGAGCTAGAGCAAGTTTGCATTATGCTATTTGTCTTACTAATCAAATTGCTCTAGTTGATTTGTAGTTTTTAAATAGGCTATTCAGTCCCTCCTCTAGCCATATTAGGACCTTTCAGCTGGCTGCGGCCCTGCTCCTCCATCTGCTGGCGCCAGACGAGTGTGTGTGGTGAGCGAGAGAGACTGTGAGGGAGAGGGACCCAGCCCTGCTCCTTTGCGAACAAGGACAGTGGATCCGTGAGGGAGAAAGACCGTGAGGGAGAGGGTCGGTCAAGAGCTGAGAGCTTCAGTTATATACGTGGGTTATTAGACGGGCTGTTAGTGGGCCGAACAATTTCGGGGCTCCATTGGTGATCCGTGGGGAAAAAAGTAGGATCCGTCCTCAAACCCGCTATCGTTCGGATATCCGAACCCAAATCCCGTGGGTGCAAAACTGTGCCCGAAACCAAAACCACTGGACCCGAAACTCGCGGATATCCGCTCCAAACCCGATCCGCTGCCAAGACTCGGTATGTTGTGCAGCCACGATAATACAAACTATTACGGCAAATGTGGCATCTATCTTTGTAGGATTCTACATCCAGATTAGACAGCCAGCATGTTGGAGTTTCAGACATGATGAACTAGAAATGCTACTAACTGTAGTATACGTACATTTTAGCATCGACATTAGTGAACCAATATTTGCAGCCACGATGGCGAGGGGCTCCTTGGACATGGCGCCCTTGGGGGTCATCTCATCTGGCACGGTTAGGCTAGCGTCCGGACATTTGGACGTAGCTCCCCACACCCCATGCCTCCTCCATGCCGCACGCCCCGCACGCTCGGATTCCACGCCGCTTGAACGACTCGTCCCACCCACACTGCCCATCCTCACACGGGCCTACGCTGTCCGAACATCAAAGGAACAAGAAGAGGAGACACCGAGGCGAGGCATAGAAGGCGAGGAGGGAGATGCAACACCCGATCTACTTTTTAAACATCTAAATAAAACATTTGCAACATACGTTCAAAACAGTTGAAACACTTGCAACATACGTATGAAACACTTGTAAAAACACTTGAAAACGCTTGAAAAAACCATTGTAAAATATATGCAACATCCAGATAAAACACATACAACATCCAGATAAACATACTTGCAAGCATTCGTCCGAAAAAGATAGCTGAAACATTTAAAACAAACGCTTGCAACATGTGTACAACCATTGCAACATAGACAATATTTCGATCTAGTTTTGCAACATCCATCTAAAAACACTTGCAACATACCTCTGAAACATCTGAAAACACTTGCAACATGCGCTTTCAAGCGCAATATCTACTTGTTGCATGGACGAATGGAGGCTCGTCGACGTGTAGCTCGACGACGGCTCGGAGCTCGATGCCGGGGGGTTCCAGTGGGCGGGCCGCTGGCCGCAGCCCCAATGAGCGGCTGTGCCGCCCTCGACGACAGGACGGGCAGGTGGGGTCCCCACGGCAAGACGGCCCTCCGGTGTGCTAGAGAAGGTGAGGCGGCCATGCGACTTTGGGAGCCTGCTGCTGATGCTGCTTCTCATTCGTCGACGGCAGGGAAGGAGGATGGATGGCGAGAAAGGGAGGCAGCGCGTAGCCACGGCGGAGGAGGGAGTGTAGCAGTAACACAAAGAAGAGAGAGACCGAGGAGAGCACGAGCAGCAAACACCTGAATGAGAAATCAACATCCTGTTTAGATGAAGAAGCCACGAGGAGAGCATCAGAGGGAACACACATATTAGCCAGAATGGATGCGGACAGGAGCGGAGAATCCGCGTCCGTCCGGACGCCGAGAAGAGAGCATTACAGTTTGTAGAAAGGATCTCTATTTTCTAATTTCTCTTCCATATATGCATAGCAAAAGCTAGAAATTTCATTTCAAACAGTAGGACGGCCTAACTTGTACGATTCGACGAGAACATGACGCTCGCCATCCAATAAAATACATACAGTAATTGGCAATGAAAATCCATACAGCACAATAAAAGATGGTGAAACACAGAAAATTATAAGAACCTCGGGTCTTCATGTATCTGGAGATACATACGTTCCACGGTGTATATATATAGCTAGCATAGAGGACATGTTACTTAGATGGGTCTTAAAAGATTAGAAAAAAAAAGGTCCTGGTAATAATTCGTCTACTATATGTATAGGGGTGTAGTAAGGGGCATCATCCATTCATCCTCGCCTCCCTCTTGAAGGGATAGGTAGATGGTGCCTCATGGAGTAGTACTCTAGTAGTACATGAGCTGCTGCTGCTGTTGCTGGGCGGAGGTTGTGGCGGTGGCAGTATTGATGCCCTGAAAGCCGCCGTCATAGATGGACTGGCTGGCTCCACCGCCCATCCCCAGTGCAGCGACATGCTTCAAGGCGTGCTGACCCATTAATGCTGGGTTCGTGGCCATCTTGCTCAGGGCCAGGCGCTGGTAGGCCATGAAATCTGTCGCCGACACTCCAGTGGAGAATGTTGCCAGTGCTGGAGGAGGCAGAGGTGAGGATGCTGTCCCTGGTGGAGTCGGTTTGCTTCCCCAGGAACACTGCAACAAATTAAGGCAAAGACTATTCAGTAATTTGCTGTGATCAATGTATTTCATACAACTAAACAACTAGATAATATCGTGCATACCATACCAAGATGTTCTGTACATACCTTAATAAATTCCAAAAAAAACAAAAGTTTTACTATCTGGCTATATTTTCAGGGGATAATGTTGATAAACCAATTTATATTACCTACAAACCATTCACATAATACTTAGGTCTGCTAATGGGTTGGGTTTGTTTGGGTTAAATGGGGTGGGTTCTCATTTGATTTCGTTTAGAAGGGTTCGAATTGGTTAATCAGCAGGCTGGGTTGGGGTGGGGAGTATAAGAGATGTGGGGCAGGGTGGGTCAGGTTAGGGTCGAAGATGATACTCAGAACGGATGGAACCAGTGGGTTCAACCCATGGACATGGCAAAACTCAGTCCCGCAGTCGACGGCTAAACGCACCCGAGCCACCTCACCCTCGACCTTCTCGGCGCTCTCTGCTACGCTGCTGCCACACGGTTTGCTCTGGCGGACGATCACCTCGCATGCGGTGCAGCAGCACCCTTCATCCTCGTCAATAAGCCCTCGTCCAGCAGCTGGGCAGCGACGAGGTAGGTCACAAGGAAGCCAAGCACCCCAACAGCCCACAGCGAAGCCTAGAGGAAGCGCTTGATTGGGGTTGGCATGACATAGATGTGGATGAGGAGCAGTGACATGTTGACAGCACCATACCCGCGGCGCTGGCAGCGTACAGGAGGTCAATCCCCTGCCTGACGGCATCGTTGCCCTCCAGCAGGAATACCGCGGAGGCCACGGCCACTAAGGACACCGCCGCGGTCACCAGCCTCGACCAGTACAGCAGGACCTCGCAGAGGTCGGACTCCTCGACTGTCCTGAGCTTGTAGACACCATTGTAGACAGTGGTCTGGTTGGCTTGATGTACAGGTGCAGGATCTGAAGGTGGCACTCGTGGTGGGCAGGATCTGCAGCTCCGTTCTTGCTGGACCGGTGGAAGAAGAAGCACCGGAGTTGGCGCTCGTGGCGGCGCCCTGTCCTCCCCTACCGCCGCAGATTCGTGCGGAACTACAACTGTGCATCTACCCACCCACCCAGATCCTTTGTCCCTCTCCTCCACGTCACCACACTGCTCCCCGTTGCCACTCTCGCTAGCGAATTTCTGTCAATATAGGTGGGTTTGGGTTGGATCTACTTGGGTTGGGTGAATTCTTTCAGTGGGGGTGTGGAGTGGCTTGGAATGGGCTGGGAAGGTTGAGCCTGTTGTTGTGGGGTGGGGTGGGGTGGGGGTGGGTTGGAAAAGGGTGGGTTTTGACCCATAAGCAGGCCTAGTAATACTACCGTTATCCACCAACAATATTATTCTATTGTAAAAATTGACCTAGGAACTTTCAGGATTTTACTAAATCCCATTATCAAGGAAATGTGAAAACCAGAACCAAAGATACCTTTATCTGCCTCCCGCCAATAAGTTGGCCATTACCCATCTGAATTGCCAGTGCAGCCTCCTCATGGGTGCTGTACCTTACAAAGCCAAAGCCTTTATCACGAGTTACACGGACTTCCTCAATTGAGCCAGCCCCAAGTGAATGGAAAAACATGTGCACATCATTGTTGGTAGCCTGGAAATCAAGAAAACATGGAAGAACGTTCATAAGACAATAAAAAAATGTTAACAAAAAAATGGTAATAGCAAATAGAAAGCCAAAACATAGACAGCAGCTCTTCTATTGGAAGAGTATTACCTCGTGAGGAAGATTGCCAACATAGACAGTAGTAAACTGAGGGTTACTTTCAGGACCATCTTCATTTAGATTCTCTTTTCCAGATTCTGCAGAACATTATAAAAGATTATTAAAAGGTGTCGCAGGTCAGTTTCAAGCCATAACTGTGACACGTATGGCTTCTACCAAATTCCCATCTTACCTATGAATTAAAATTGTACTCCCTCCGTCCCAAAAAACTTGACATCCTAGGATTTTTCAGACATTAGTATCGAGGAAAATGACCCTGCTACCCTATTTATTAGGAAGTGTTTTCCCTTGAAACAGGCCTGTCACATGGGTAACCTTCCACAGTGCACACAAAATTAAGGAACCAATTGCAAGCATGCAGATTAGTTAGCATGCTTGGGTCTAATTAGCGCCCTCAATTACAGTGGATAGACTCATTATGTCTAGTGGGCTAGAATGACTAAGTTTTTTGGGATAAATTTTGAATACTAGGATGTCAATTTTTTTGGGAGGGGAGGGAGTAAAAACTAAGGTTAGAATATACTCTATCCTTTCCAAATTGTAGTTCACTTTATCTCTGTCCTAAGTCAGACTTCTCTAACTGCGACCACATTTATTGGAAAATGCACAAATATCTATAACATCAAATTAGTTTCATTAAATTCTCCATGAAACTTCATGATAGTACATTTATTTGAACTTGTAGTCTAGATATAACATCAAGTTAGAGAACTTTGACTTAGGACAAAACTAAAACTGAACTATAATTTGGAATGGAGTATGCCAAAAAAATACTTTATTTAGCATGGCATACCATCCATAGAAAGTACAAATGTCAAGCACCACCTAGGCTGCTAGGCACATCTAGCAGCTAGCGCTTTTTGAAACACAAAGAAAAATAGAAGCTCAAGTCAAAGCACATGTATTTACCTGATGTGCCATTTGTCAGGTCAACCTTGGAGTCCACAATCTGTTTCTCTTCACCAGCACTAGCACCTTTCGTTTGCCCAATTGCAACTTAATTTGTGGTTGCCAAGCCACTTCCCTGCCAGTAGAAAAGTAAACAGGTGTAATCACCTTGTGAAGCTTAGGAGTTAGGACTCCAAAATGGAACATATATAAGTTAGAAACATGGAACTAGAGAACATACCATTCAAGTCATTTATCGCACTTTGAGCATCCTGTTAAGGAAATAATGACACAGTGAGATGAAACAGCAGCTCCAAAAGTCCATGGCAACGATGCACAAAGAGTTTAAAATGGCGACACTACCTGCTGGTTCCTGAAAGAAACAAAACCAAACCCTCTGGATCGTCCTGTTTTCTGGTCCCACATAACCCTAGCATCTCTGCAAAAGTTACCAAGCTAAACTGGTAAATAGACATGCCATGTACTGGACAATTAGCAAACTACTCTGCTAAAATGTCACAGTGACAAGTAAATGATGGAGGGGAGATGAGAGTCAGGCAATGCTTACGAGCAGGTAGAGTATCCAGAGAAAAATGCAAACAAAGTAGCATCAGTGACTTCTGGGCAAAGATCCCCAACAAAAATATTAAAATGACCTGCATACAAAGCTTAGAATTCAGAAACCATACATTCACATACCTGCATGATTTGAAACAAGTAAAATACAAATATAGAATATATTATTAATTCATCTTCAGTTCCAAACCTGATGTATCCTCCCTCTGAGTACTTGTATATGCCCAATTAACTTTTATCGGCTGACCATACCTGGATTTTTGGGGGTAATTAGAAAATTAGAGACAAAAAACAGGGCAGTGTTCATAGAAATTAGCACATACTCCTTCCGTTCCAAATTGTAAGTTCTTCTGGCTTTTCTAGGTACATAGTTTTTGCTATGCACCTAGATATACACTATGTCTAGATACATAGTAAAACTAGTAAAACTATGAATCTAGAAAAGCCAAAACGACTTACAATTAGAAATGAAGGGAGTACAAAACCAAAAAAAACTTACAGTGGTCTGCCATTGAGAGATAAAATTGCTAGTGCAGCATATCTGCGGTCATAATAGTCAATGAAACCAAAGGATGACTGCAACATCATAATGGAAAGTGTGAAGGCCACATTGCTATAAACAATCTAATTTATAGAGGATAAGCAAACCTACAGTAAATCATTAACAATTAACAAATTAAACATACGAAATGCAGTATCCCAAATTAAGGTATCCTAATCCTTGGCAGCACTAGAACAACCATACTTAAAATCATAATTATTTAGATCCATTCAAAGTTTAGCCAATAAAATAAATATGACTCACATTCAAAATGTTCGTTGCATCTAATAGCTTCTAAGTACTAACTATGGCATTCTCCCGACTCCCTGATATAATATGCTAGTCAAAAGGTGTCACTCTAAAAGGCAGTAAACAACAACTACAGAATGGATGGATCAGTTCTAACCACAAACGTTTAATTCTCATATGTGTTTGAACAGATAGTACAGCATAATAAGTTAGAGATGGGTATGGAAGCACATGTCAATAGGTTAGTCTACAGTCCACCACAAGTCAAACCACAGTAACATACATGGCTCAGCTCCCCAATGCTATCTCAGTTCAGAGTTCACCATATTGCACTCATCAAACTTTTAAAAACTAACATGAATAGCAATGAAACTCTTATGTCCACCTAGATCAATAGGTTAGGCTGAACTGCAGAGTGCATGTGTGCTTTCATTCCAGTAAAAGAAGATTAGCACACCGCTGATTGTAGTCAGCCAGCTGAAATTGAACTTTTGTTCCTAAAAAGGTCTTAGCATAATATATACAATTAAAAAAGGAGGAGGATCAATAACCAACCCAATCCCCTCCTCTTCTCCCCGATAAGTAAAATTTCTCGTAATATTTTCAAGTGACTAAAATAAATATTTTATGTATCACAGTGATTTTAATACAGCTAATATACAATTAAGCACCAGATAACTCAAACTTAGCAGAAAGTATTGAAAGAATTAATGCAGGCATTTAATTCATCAAAACAAGAGCCTAAGACAATAAAAATGAAAATATGCAAAGCATGTTACATGTGTGTATTTCCATGGTAACTAGACTTGAGACATACGGGTAAAGAAAAGGCAAAATAAGATGCAGAGAGCAATCTGAAAAGGCAGCCACAATTTTTCAGGCGAGTGGGTGTTGGGGGTAGGTGGGGGTATGGATTTATCTGTTACAAACTATCTTTAGCCATTTTTTATTTTTTAATTAAAAGAAAGAAAGATCCACCTTTTCTTTTCTGATGAGCTTGCACCCTTCTACTGGACCAATACTTTGGAAGACTTCCTGCAGTACTGCGTCCGTCACTTGAAGATTGATATTGCCAACATACCTATTGAAAATGTGATCGATGAGCACAAAAATGATAAATGTGGAAAGGGTAGTCAACATTATTTTGCAGATTTACCACATGCAGAGGGCAATTTGATCTATAACATTAAACACAGAACATTCTGCATAAAGGCCCTGTTTCATTTCGACCATTCAGAAACTAAGGGGGAAATAAAGCCATATTTTTATGGAGATGTTCTTAAAAGACGAATTTAGCACTATAGCAGTCCTAGGTCATAAGATCAGGGAAAGAACCACTTCCAACACTTACACGCTGCGGCATGTACTCGAATCAAACCCAGGAGGCAGGTTTCCACTAACTATGGGCTCCATCTGCAAAGATAAACAAGTGTAAGCAAAAGGCTCTATGAAGAACAGAGTTAACATCTCTGATTTCATAACTAGTTCACAGCTCTACTAAAATCACGCATTCAGTTTGTAGCCGGAGGATGTTGCAGTTTGAAAAGGTCTCCTTCACTAAGAAAAAAGAAAACAACAATCGTGACTCATCAAACAACACTATCACAGTCCAACAAATAAATATCCGGATCACACAAAAGCAAAGCCTCCAAAACTGGGAAAGTGTGCACCACTAAACATACCTATCTTATTATATTTTGGAAAAAAAATAAACTAAAAGTGAACCAAAAACAAGATTCGGACACCACAATATTCGCCCCATGCACATAATGATATAAGACCATCTTAAAATTACAGATTACCAAAAACTAACTCAGCCGGACGAGAACATTTAATCACCAAACCCTAGCAGGAATTTAGAAATCTAAATTGTTTGTGACACGCAACGACGACCCGCATCCCAGAATCGCGACAAATGGCCGCGCACCCACAACGAGAATCCCAGAATCGAGACAAATGGCGATGCGATTGACATAACCGACCGCAGAACACTACTAAATCCCAAAATTCCAGCGGTAAACCGCAACCACAGAACCCCAAATAGCTCTTCAGCCCGGAACCTACAAATCCGATCCGAAACCCCAGAACCCCACCGGCTGCCTTAAGCGCGGAAATCCCCAAATCAGAACCCCATAGATCGTCGATTCCCGCCCACGCGATTGAACCGGAGAGACGAGAAATCAAACCCACCTGTGGCGCGGCGAGGAGGCCGGGGTGCGGGTGGTGGTGCCCGGGGAACAAGGGCGGCTGCGCCTGCTGCTGCTGCTGCAGGAGCAGGGCCTGCTGCATCAGCTGCTGCTGCTGCTGCGCCGCGGCGGCCTGCTTCATCCGCTGCTGCGGGTGCATGCCTGCCGGCGGGGCGATCGGCCGCCGGTCCCTCCCCGGCGATTATTAGGGTTCGTTGGGGCGCAAAACCCCAACGGGGGGAACGAGAAAAAAAACGAAAAAAGAAAAAAGAAAATAAAAAAGAAAAAAAAATAACCCCTCGAAGCCGAGGGGAAGAGAAGAAGGAAGAGCGCGGCGTCGCGGGGGTGGTGACGGGCCGCTGCCGGATATTTCCATGGGCGTGAGGATTTTTTATTCCAGCCCCTGAGATTGTTGTGATCTCCAACCGTACGCTGGCCCCAGAGTGTCAGTGGGTGAGTGGTTTCTGGAGTGGATGGTGGTTGCGGTTGTAGAGCAACTTGAGGGCCTGTGTACAAAAGTGTGCGTTCCTGTCATCCTGTGGGCGCGCAGCAGTTCAGCACGGGAGCGAGATCGCGGTGTTTGGTGCGACTGGAGTGAGGTGTTACTGATTGGTAGGTGGGCCCACCGCGCAGGGAGAGATCACGGAGGGCGGAGACGCGGCGTACGTGGGCGGGGAGCACACAGGCTGACACAGCGGGGTTGCGGAGTGGTAGGGATGGAGCAGGAGGGAGGTCAGTGAGGGGAGGCAGGCGGAGGATCCGGTGTGTGTCAGGATCGGTGTGGCGACGGATGTGTGTCGTGCTGCGACGGTGCGGGATCAGCACGTGGCAGAATGATATGCATGTGCTGATTTTTGGGATCTACGCCTCGTTTAGTTCCTCCCCTAAAGTTTACTCTCTGTAATATTAAATGTTTGAACACATACATAGAGCATTAAATATAGATTAAAAAATAACTAAATGCAAAGATTATGACTAATTTACGAGACGAATTTTTTAAGTCTAATTAGTCTATGATTTGACAATGTGATGCTATAGTAAACATGTGCTTATGACGGATTAATTGGACTTAATAAATTCATTTCGCGGATTACTGAGGACTTCTATAATTTGTTTTATTATTACGAACACTCTCACTTGACATCCCGACGTGACATCCTAAACTTTACTCCCTGAATTTAAATACCACCTCAGACCTTGTTTAGTTCATCCCAAAAGTTTACACCATATCCTATCGAATATTCGGACACATGCATAGAGTATTAAATATAGACTTAAAAAATAACCAATTATACATATTGCGACTACTTTGTGAGACGAATCTTTTAAACCTAATTAGGTCATGATTTGACATTGTAGTGCTACACACATATGCTAATAGTGGGTTAATTAGGCTTAATAAATTCTCGCAGTGTACTGACGGATTCTGTAATTTATTTTTTTTATTAGTATCTAAATACTCTATACGACACCCATATGTAACACCCGATGTGACACCCTAAAATTTTATATCCTGGATTTGAACAAGGCCTTAATGGTGGTGTTCGCTGGTCTGAGGAAACCAGCCAGCCGGCTGGTTCCCCTCACGTGATACTGTTCATCTATTCAGCTGAACAGTATTTTTCTCTCACAACAAATCAGTTAGAACAGTGTTTTTCAGCCAAATTTGAGACCAGCGAACGGGCCAATATAATAAGGTCTGGTTAAATTACTGGGATCCAACTGGGCTTTTTGTTACGGCTGTTGGTCATTTTAAAAGTGACATCATTCCCGCCATTCACAGAATTTGTCGTTGATTATAAGATTTGTTTCATGTCCCTATCAAACCTGTAAACATGTGCAACTCCTGTGGGCCTGCTCACTTCCCATTGTTGCACAGCCGTAGCAACTGCAGCTACAGAATTTGTATAGGAGTTACTGTTGCAGTCGTGTGTACTATGTTGTAGCCGTTGTTATTGTTGCAATGGGAGACGATCTGGTTGTACATACATTATTTAATTTAAAATCATGAAGCTTCGTTTGAATTCAAAATACCTGAAAATCTATTAGATTTTAAGATTTTGATAGTCGTTCTAGACGATTTTTTTATTTTTAACACTTTTTTAAATTAATTTTAAATCTAACACTGTTTTTTTTCAAAACTAACACTTTTTGCCGTGCGTACTGCCATGGCGTGGCGAAACGCCTGTAATGCGCCGTGCATGGTGGCGCGGCACAGGCGTTTTGTCGCGCCATGGCAATAGGCGCGGCCAAAAGTGTTAGTTTTAAAGAGAGAAAAAACAGTGTTAGATTTAAAATTAGTTTTCAAAAACTGTTAAAAATAAAAAAAATCTTCTAGAACATATTAGCTGTTCAAGTTCAAAAATATGCATTGAAAATCATGCACAATCAAATATGGGCTTCATTACAAACTACTACAATTATTCTAAATTATGAGACGTTTTAGCTTTTCTTGATCTATTGCTATTACTATATATCTAGACATAATATATATCTAACTGTATAACTAAATCTATATGTTCGGAAAAGTCAAAAGATCTTGTAATTTAGAATGGAATGAGTATTTGCGAAAACATTGGTTACGTTTGGATGGCTGCACAATTAGAGACATGTTTGGCAGCGAGAGTAAAAGGGCAATCATGCTTTCTAAAAAAACTATGAGGAGCACAATTATCCTTGTCGAGCACCGATAAGGTTTAGGAGAGATACGGTGTCAAGTATTTTGAGTAAAAGGGTTCTTCAGTTGTTGCAGTGTTTAGAGCCGCAGGGCATCACTGGTGGGACCCATATGGGAGATAAAAGAAATACACAGAACCCACTAGCTAAACCCAACTAAGGCCTTCTGCAATGTATGCCTTGAGTGATGTCAAGTTTGGTGAGAGAGCAAATAAGAACCACTGGCAACGCATTGACAAGTGATGCTATCTCTAAGTGATGCCAAAGAAACCAGGAGCGGTGAACGTTCTTGCTCCGCTCCTACTTTCTTAAAATAACATTGTTCTACTGTAGCAACCGCTCCCACTTTCTTAAAATAACATTGTTCTACTGTAGCAACAGTTGATCATTGAAGTGATCCGCCAATGAAACAGATGGTGGAGAGAAGATATGAGATATTTTATTGCACTGTGGATCCCAAATCTCTAGATAGCACCGCTTCTATGTTTCTTTTGCACATTGCAGCTTTTACTGAGTGATGCTTGTTTTGTTGTATCTGGGTCCACTCATTTTTTTGCTTTACTAGTACATTGTCGAGGGCCTAATACTCTGCATCAGTTAGGGAAATGCCAACAAAATTCTATTCTATGGTTTGGGCACCCGAGCAAGTAGTTGCTCCGCTCCTTGTTTTTCTGGCACCGGTGGAAGTTGGAATCACTTGTAGTGGGAAGGAGCGACTCCCAAAGTCTCTCTCTCCTCTACAAGCACCACGTGCGGAGGGCCTTAGAATCGATGAAGAACAATTATGTTTCCTAACAAACTACAATTCTAGGCACGACATGGAGTATCATATATGACCAAAATTGTGTCCTCGCTAGTGGTGAGCACCAATAAGGTTTAACTTAATCTCTGCAATCCCACATGTGCCATGCCTATTACTTGTATGCCATTTCCAAATGGATGCAAGTCACATGTACTCCCTCCATCACATAAAGAGTGTCATTTTCATCTTCAATTTTGATAAAAAAGTGTCTTCCACACTTTTCGAGAATTCAAACATCTTCAACTTTTATCAAATATATATAAGAAAATATTAATATTTATAGTGCATAATTAATATCATTAGATAAAACGCTGAATATATTTCACAATGACCTATTCAGATATATAAATATTACTAATATTTTGTATAGTTCAAATTTTTTGACCAGCACAAATCCTATAATAACTTTTTTGACCAGCACACGTCGATCGGCTGATGTTTGACCATGTTGGATCCATTGATCACCTTATTGAAGCGAATGTACTCCGTCAAAGGGAACTAACCATCCAATCCAAGTTAATTACACATGCACGTTCAATATTTAATACTCTTAATTAGCATCTAAACCTCCGATGTGACGGTCCCCTACTATATCAAACACCTCCTGAGTTCCAACCCGATCGATTAGACGAGCCCAATTCAATGCGCTTCACAACTCCCAGCTGCATGCCGATCGAAACGATCGATCGGATCAGATCCCGGCCGCCGCTGTTCACGCGTTCACGCTACGCACCGTCCGACGCATGCACGCATCAATCGATCGTCGTCTCTGGTGGTGTGTATCCACCGCGCACCGAGCTAGCTCGCCGAGACGCCATCGCCGACACGTACCCGCCCTGCATGGCAGCTCCGATCCCTGTCGTCCCTGGCCGCCTCGCTCAGCTAGCACCACGCACAAGCTAGCACACAGGCCAGTCGCCTCTTTCACCAACCGCGCCGCCCGCGGCCGCTACAAATAGTACCCCCCTCCGCGCGCCCAGCACGACACGACAGGCCCGGCGTCGATCGCACTCGCACCACGCACTGCACACCACTCGATCAACACACACCAGCTCACGAGAGAGTTCCGAGACGGAGATGACGACGAAGCCGTCGGCAGCCGCGGCGCGCGCCGCCGTGGTGGCGCCCCTGCTGCTACTGCTGGTGGCCGCCGCCGCGACTATGACGACGACGACAGAGGGCGCGACGAGCCCGTGCAACCCGGCGCTGCTGACGCCGTGCGCGGGGCCGGCGCTGTTCGGCGGGGCGGTGCCGGCGGCGTGCTGCGCGCAGCTGCGGGCGCAGCAGGGGTGCCTGTGCGGGTACGCGCGCAGCCCCAACTACGGGAGCTACATCCGCAGCCCCAACGCGGCGAAGCTCTTCGCCGTCTGCAACGTCGCCACGCCGCGCTGCGGTTAGCTAGCTAGCCTAGCCGCCACTAGGCAGCCTACTAGCTAGCTATAGCTATTCGAATGCATATATATATATATATATATATATATATATATATATATATATATATGTATATATATATATATATGCATCATGTTCAGTTCATGAATAAAAATCATAAAATCAATCAAGGACGTACCATATCCGTCCATTTACATCGTACCATAGCGACTTGGGAGAAAAGATTTGCAGCTGCTGATATGGTCCCCGGTCTCTGTCGATGGCGCTGTTTTCTTAGATCATGCATGTGT